TTTTGACGTAATATAATGAATCTCTTTTTAACTTGTGATTTTGCTGTCTTAAATATGAAAACCTTTCTAAGGAAGCAGAAGGAAGATCATGCATGCAAACTGTATTTTCCTCAAGCATTTCAGTACTTTCGTCATTTTCATTGGGTCTTCATGCATAATGACCCAAAGGCACTGGTTTCCTGGCAATGCCAGCCCCCGCCTTCGTGGTGAGCGCTGTGCTTCCCCGCGTGCAGGCACCAGCACGCTGTGGAGAACAATGTGATCACCCACGCAATTTCTCTGGGCTGCACCTTCTATCCAATTGCTCCCAGTGTCTGTTTCTCCTGCCGCACTCTTGATCACAACTGTTTTCTTGCTGAGGCTTCCCACATTGGGGATGTGAAAGACAGCTTTGTGCTTTATTGTCCCCGCCTTCAACACTGGTCAGAGCAAACCATGGTGCACTCTGAGCTCAGCTCTTCACTAGAGCACAGGGCCCTTCTGTGAAGTGGAGGAGGTGAGATGCCCACGTGAGGAGGGTGCAGGTGCCCAGGAGGATTTCTGTGGGGAAAGTCCCTCCAACACACACCTCTCCCTCCAATCGAGTTCTGTTCATGGCTGCAGAAGCCAAGCCCGGAACTCACCTAGACTCATGTTATGGTGCTGAGGAGCTAGGGACCAGGTCCCTGGAAATTTTTGGACCTAGAGTACCCTGCCTGACTGAAAGTGGGCAACTACAGACAGGAAATACGTCAGGATCTCACTGTGTTCTGCATGGAACCCAGGGAGTCCTCACAGCCCCCACCCAGCACACCAGAGAAGAACACAGGCTGAGGACCCTGTGCCAGGCAGTGCTGATAAACACGAGTCTGCCCCACAGGCACCAATATGGCAGGCATGGCATGGGCTCGCTTTCTTGGAGCTCAGCTCATCCTCAAGAGCACAAAGGACATGAGATCTAAATAAAGCAATGATTAGGGCATTGTGAGTGTGGGCACACGTGTGTTTATGACAGTGTCAAAATTTTATCTTACTCACCCCGACTAGCTATATATCCTGATACCTGTGAACTAGGCGGCTGCACTAAAGACAGCAATGTATAATACTAGGCTCATGCTGGGAACGCCTGCCATTCTGGTCTTCTGAATACGGCTGCCTGTCATGTTACAACAGTTACTGCTATACTGTCTCTCAAGCAAATGTTTGTTTAAAAAAAGGGGTAATAAATGAAAACAAGAGACAAGGAAAATGTCATAGGACTGTCCTGCTACAATACTGTATATGGCTAGATTTCTAAATTTTTGTTTAAAAATATGTCATTGTTTATTTCTATTTTAAATATTTTTTTCCTTTTTTCTTCACATTCTATAGGGATTTAAAGGTTAACATATTAATACTTAACAGAAAATACCTGTTCCATGTTATGTCCAAGATGTTTGGTATTCAGACAGATAGTGAGGTGAAGCTCAACTACCTATATTATAGGGTAATGCTATCATGAAGCTTCTCTTCTGGAGGATTAACAACTTAATTTTGCAGACAAAAAATTAGAGAAAAATTAAGGGCTATAAGGATAGACAACATTTTGGCCCTAGCCTTTCAAGGTCAGTGAGGACTCAAGACATAGGAGAACCTGTACTGTAACATCCTGTAACTCCGTTGCATCCCAAATTTTCTGATCAAGGAGATTATGGGCCACAGAGGAAAGTGATCAATGATGTAGAGTGTGACTAAGGAGAGTCACCTGGAGAGAAAACATTCTGTCAGGCTTTCACAGAGAGCAAATTGGTCAAGCAATGGCCGTGACTCATCCACATGGCTGACCCTGACAAAGGATCTACAAACTGTGGTACAGGGTTCCAGGGTAAATGCTGAAGGGATTTGACTGACTTTGTCAGATACAAAAGTTGCATTTCTTGTTATGTATAACTTCCTTTAACTTGGTCTTAACCATCCAGCAGAAAAGTATGAAAACAAGGTATGAGAAGTAAAGCCATATTAATATGGTGAGCTGTAAAAGGCTCCAGTCAACAACTTCTGGCATTGCCAGTTCTGCAGATAACCCACAGCTATTTCTGGACTCCTGGACTATAATGGATTATTTTGCTGAATTCACACACCTGAAATATTTAAATGGCAATGGAATACCCATATCTGACAAAACTGAACAAAAAAGGGGATACAAATGAAGGACCATTTTGTATCTGTATATACAAAATTGGATAGATATACAGCTACTTTCTCTTAATTCAATAAGAAGAAAGATTTGTACTAATAGTGTTTGCACAGGACATCATGTCTTCATCTTGTAGTATGAACAACCACTACACAAGGACAGCAATATGTAATGTTTTAATTATTGAAACTGTCCTACTAATCAGTTTTGAAATTGTCTCATTGCTATTTGTTTCTCGATAAAATTAATTAAAAGTAAATAAATAAATAATTTATCTTAATTCTCACTGCAATTTCCACCAAATTGTACACTTCCTTCATAAACAGTACATTTAACTTTTTTGAAAATATACAATCAATTTTACTCTTAATACCCCCAAAATGAAGAAAAGCAAACCTCATGATTCATCAGAAAGAACAGAGAACACTTAACTCTCACTCATACTGTGCCTTTCTGTACACATGTCTTGGGGGCAGATGATCCAGTAGTTGCTCTAGGACCTAAGTGCCCTCAGCACTGTCTGAGTCTCATCTACAGCCAGCGCACACAAGCGGAGACTTTGATGGCAGCCTTCCCTTGAGAAAGGGTTTAGCTGTGCATGAAGGGTGTGCACATCCACCCAAAATTTGTGGATTCCACAGGGACAAGGTTGTTGTGTCCTTCTGGAGCTACCTGTGACACCAGGACGGTAGCAGTGGCCTCTTTGCAGGACTCCTTCTCAGGCACATGCTGGCTTCCATGCCAGCTTGCAGAGTCCCCAGCCCAGTTCTCCATGTTCCAGGAGGTCCTACCTCCTTCATTAACTGCTCTGCTTGCAGCACTGGCCATGGAAAGTAGGACCACGCAGCAGCGGGGAATGTGCTCCTCTATGGAGTTACATGGCTAGCCTTTATATTATTATTATTATTTTTATTTTTATTTTCAGGATGATGATGGATTTAATTTTGAGCAGGATTTTCTTAATGTTTTCAAACTGCCTTAGAGCTTTCAATTCTCTCAGATTAATCTACGCATTTTATTGGGAAGATGGTGGGTGTCACTTATTGTCAATATTACCCTTTCTGTTTAGTTAGGATGACTTCCTTCATGTGTTTCCAGTAGGAAGTGTTGCAATTGTGTTCCAAACCCCATTTTGATTCAGCTGAGAACTTGCCCGGAGACAGAGAAGCTCAGGGCAGTGGTTGGCCGTTGCTCTTACTCAGTAAATCCCTCCACAATGCAAATGGGTTCAGTATTGCATCGTGAGGAAAGGTGCCAATGGCATCAGCCAGTTTCTTCCGCATGATTCTCCTCTGTTCACACACACTTCCATTGGAGAAAAAAGTCTGCAGCAGTTGCATTTTCATGGGTGTCCAAATACTTTCCCTGACATGCTTCGGAGTGTGTGAGAAGGCATAGCCTTAGACCACATATAAATCATAACGGACAGTGAATAGGTGACCAAAGTTTCCTCTCTTGCATTTAAATTAACAGTAAAACTTTTGCAGCATCATAGAAGTCCAGCTGTGGGAGCTAAACAGCAATCCCAAGTGACGTCTTAGGGTGAGGGTTAGAGAGGGAATCAGCCTGTCAAGCTCACTGGCCCTGGCAAAAGCCAGCTATTAATCACTTAAGCTGAAGGAAACTACGTCAGACTTCACTTGCTAAAGCATGAAAATCATCCAGGATCAGTAATATTTTCCACCATGCTGATCTGCTTGTGAAAAGAGACTATTCCCTGCTGTGTTCTCACTGGCCCCGTGACTATGTGGTTGGACCATCCAAGCTCGTGTCAAGCTCGCCTTCTGCACCCTCCTTCTTCCCTTGGGCTCTCCATGGGGAACCAGCACATCAGGATTCAGTCCCCAAGCAAGCACCTTCCTCATTATGCAAACCTTGGCTGAACAAAGTGGCGGGACCTTCCGTGTCCCTGAATGAGGACAGGGAATCCTTTGGTCCTGGGGCAGAGGGGTTTACTAAATTCCACTTTCACACTGGGACCACCTAAGTCATGTAATACCACATGGAGAACCATGTGCTGATCACACAGGTTATCCTCTCTGGGGACAGCGTCTACCTGGTGTTTGCCTGTGCTCAGAGGTAGCTAGGAGGACCGGAGGTGGATTGAGCTGCTACATGGATTCTGCACCTTGCAGCAATGTTTTAGGAGCGGTTCTCATTGTTTATTTCATCTTTCACCATCCAAGCGAAATTATTCCCTACACACTAGAGCTCTCATAAAGCAATGCCTTAGGATCCAGCCGGGCTCCCTCCACCGGAAATACAAAGTGAATATCTTTGTACTGCTGTGAGGGCTTCTATTATTTTTAAGTTAATGCCAAATCAGTATGTTTAATATTTTCACAAATAATTATGTATTATATGCATCTTTACAGTTCTCTCATCAATCAGAAAAAAAAATCAATACATAGAAACAGTGGTGTAATCTGGATTTGAACTTGTAGATTTAAATCCCTGAGTGTAAAGCTCAAAATAAAAAGTAATGTTTCACAGCAACGCAGATAAATATACAAATGTTCTTAAATATGTGTCCATGATGTTTGTTATATTTCTTTTACATTATAACAGTACCAGAAAAAAGTTACAAGCTCTTTTCTTCTCTATTACTGTGTCTATACCTGAATGTGTCTAATTCCTGCATTCCAGGATATATATTTAAGATGTACGCATTGCAAATTTAACATGTGCTGTGATGCTGCAATTATCAGCCAGTATTCTTGAATACACATTTAATTCTCAAACTGGACTTGCAGAACTGTTATCTGTATTCTAGGGAAATTAATAATGTATATCCTGTAGGAATTGAATATGAACATATTGAGAATAAAATTAAAACACTCTGTTACTATTTTCTATATACAACACTACTCTGGAACACGCCTTTCATTGCCTTCAGCACGTCCTTGTTCCTGAAGCTGTAGATGACAGGATTGAGGCTGGGTGTGAGGATGGTGTAGAATATGGCCAGTAACTTGTCCTGGCCCGGAGTGTGGTAGGACCTAGGCCTCATGTACATGAAAATAAACGGCCCATAGTACATGACAACCACAACCATGTGGAAGGAGCAGGTGGAGAAGGACTTTCTCCTGGCCTCTGATGACTTGCTTTGCAAGACAGTATGTAAAATTTTGGCATAAGATACAGAGATCATGGAAAAAGGAATCAACAAGAAAATAATGGCACTGACATCAACCCCTCGCTCATAGCGTGATGTGTCCACGCAGGAGAGCTTCACCAAGGCAGGGACTTCACAGAAGTAGTGGTCGATCACCCTGGGCTCACAGAAGGGGAAGTGGAGCACATAGGCCGTGTGCACAGTGGAGTTGAGGGTGCCCACCAGCCAGGCCCCCGCGGCCAGCAGCACACTGACTCTGTCACTCATGAGCATGGCATAGCGCAGGGGGTGGCAGATGGCCACATAGCGATCATATGACATGGCCGCTAGGAGAAGGCACTCGCCACCGAGCAGTATGAGGGACAGGAAGACCTGGAATCCACAGCCTGCAAAGGAGATCGTCCTGGTGCCAGACAGGAAGTTGGAGACCATCTTGGGGACAATGTTGGAAACGTGCAAGATGTCCATGAGGGAGAGATGGCTGAGCAGGAAGTACATGGGGGAGTGGAGGCGGGAGTCGCTGCGGATGAGCAGGATCAGGAGGGCGTTTTCTGCCAGGGTCAGGACGAAAATGACGCACAGGGAGGAGAAGGCGACCAGGCTGGTTCGCGAGGAGGAGAACAGCCCCACGAGGGTGAAGTCGCTGATGGACGTCTGATTCATGTGCCTCATCCTGAATCCTCAGTGTTGACCTTTGAGAAGAATATTCCAGGGCTGGGGAAATAGCTCGGTGGTCTAAGCGCATGCCTGGCAAGTACAAGCACCTGCGTTCGATCGTTGGTATTATATGCCTTGCTGGCTCCGGAACCCTGTGAACCCTGTGCCTGTCACCACGACCAGGCGTGATGATGCACGCACATTATCCCAGCACTATAGAGGCTGAGACAGGACAATCACTACACATCAGAGCTGCTTAGGGGATCCTGCACTAAATAAATAAATAAATAAATAAATAAATTATTAAAAATAAAAAAGAATAACCATAACTCATGCATTGACTACAGCCAATTTCATAGTTGCTTAATTAATTAGAAGTGGTAAAAATAGTTATACATCAACCATCTCTGCATCTGTATGCATAACAAAATGAAAGTTGGTTCTATTTCTTTTGTAATCAGCATCAGAGGCTTCTCAATGTTTGAACGGGGGTGTTGTAAAAGACAGACAAGTAGTTGCTTGAATCCAGTGATGACATTAATACGTTGAGGCTTCCTGGCTCCATGTGGCATCCCTTGCGCTTTGCCAGAGTCCAGTCTTCACCAAGCAGCCCGGCAGGGCAGTCCGCCCGCCTCTCCCTCACGTAGTCTGACTGCTGCCCTCCGATCCCAGCTGTCTGGACAGCCTTACTAGTCTCAACTTTTATCTTTTCCTGGCCAGTCTGTTCCACCCAAACAGCACGCAGTACACGGAGGCCCAGGGTGTGGCCCCTGCTCTGGCCCCACCTTGCTCCCTGTAGCAGAGGGGGCACAGTGAGAGTCGCTCCGTGGGTGCAGCCAGCCCAGGCTTGTCTGCTCTTCTGAGGCTGCAATGCATGAGCTACAGAATGTGACGCTTGTGCAGTTTTTTCATTCATGTCAAACTTTAATGAAATATATATTTTTCTAAATATCCCAATGTGAATAAGTAGAAAAACTACAAAATCTAGCCTAGCCTGTGTTTGCTGTTTAAAGCATCAGTTATAAATTAATAGTGAAAAATCAAAGAATTGGCTCAATTTCAGCCCAGAGTCCATCTTTAGAAATATATTTTATTTTTTCGTGCTATATGATTTAAAAATGCAATAAAATAATTGAATATTTGTCTTTAATTTTAATACATGGAGATGCAATTTGAAAATTCCAATCAGAAATTACAAATATAGTATTTGGCTAACAACTATGAATTGAAATGATGCAACTTGGGCCAGGGGGATGGCTCAGTCGAATAAGTGCTTCCTTGGCAAGCGCAAGGGTCTGAGTTCAATCCCTGTTTCTGAAAAAAAAAAAAAAAAGAAAGAAAGAAAGAAAAGAAAAGAAATGATGCCGGTATTTAACACGTGGTGCAAAGCTGCTTTGAAGGGAGCAGCTACTGCTTAGCTTCGCTGACCACCTCTTCATGCTTATATCTGCTGATCTAAACAACTAGTTTGAAGGCAGCAATGCAAAATAGAACCACCCTGTTGAATTCCGACCATCTTGCTTCTTGAAATTCTGCATTGTTTCTAATGTTTTATTATTTTGTATTTCTTTAAAATAAAACTTAAAAATAAATAAATAAAACCTACTCAGGGCTTCCTGATCTTATGGATGGAGTGGCTCTGCACTCTCGTGTTCAGCCCCCATGTCACAGTGCCCTGGTCTCGATTCCCAACACTCCACTGAGCTCGCTCTTTGCTGGGAATGACTAACAGGGCAAGCACGACTGTCTCACAGCATCTCCTCCAAGGAGGAACAAGCGTCACAGGGCCTCTCGCTCTCCGCAGACTCTCCTCTGAAAGGTCTATCGTTTGTTCTGCTTTCAGTCTAGGTTTAGGAAGTGCCCTGCATGTCCGCTTTCACTGACCTTGGCTTACCTAGACCTCAGGACTCATTAGACAGCTGAAAGTCTCAGGCCTTCGGCCACATTCTGCTGGAAGGCTCGCTAAGGATCCTGCTGCCGGACGTGGATGTGTCACACTGATCGTTCAATCCTGTGATATTGCTTAACCTTATAATTTTGACTGTAAGATTTGAACAAAAAAATGCTATTAATTCTCCTCAAAATTATTATGACAAGAATTGTATATTTAGCACTCTTGAAACATTCATGCTACATGCTCTGGTATATCGTGTACTACAGGAAAGAGGCAACTTATTCTTAAAAGTGTCTATCTGCTGTTAAAATTAATGACCCCCTTGACATCATTAATGTTGACTTCTACAGAATATTACAAATGGGATATTTCTTGAGTGAGCTGGTGACTAACAGACTAGGCCAAGCTGGCGTTTGCTCCTGATTCCCCGGCTTACTCAGGAATTACTTGGGGAAGCAGGTGCAGAGATCTGATTTGATGTAAATGTAGGTTCTTGTCTGTCTGCTCTTGCTGCCAGGAGAAGCGGAGGCTTCCAGGAGCCCGCAGGGCCTGGTGCCACTTCCACCCTTGCCGCCCTCCCGCTACACTCTCCCCCGCCCCCTTTTTCTTCCTTTCTTTCCTCTTTTTCTGCTTTTTAGTTGACATTTTCAGATGGAAAGTGTCAGTGCTCAGATTTGAACTAAAAAACTGTATATGTTTGACACTTGAAATATATGCCACTTTGTTGGACTCTTGTCAAATGTATGCAAGTCAGTTTTCTGAAACATAGAAGTGAAAAGTTTTAAAAATATAGATTTAATATAACCGTGCACTAAATGAAGTGATAGGTAGTAGGGTACGATAAGTATATAACACTTTTACTCACTTAAGTACATGCTTTAAAATTTTCCAAGTAATTATACTAAGAAAATAGCACCATAAATAATTTATTTCGCAATTTTTAGAAAGTGAATTAAAACATAAAATTTGAAAAAATGAAGTACTTTTTAGTGCATTTATTTGAAATTTTCATATAATAAATCAAACACAAAAATACACTGCATCTGAAAACAATTTCTAATGCATTTAAATGCATTGTAATGTTTTCCAAATAAAATACAGACATTTCATAACACAATACCAACACCTATGGCCACACACATAAGAACCTGGCACTGGCAAATACTCAGACAACATAACTAAAATTATTTCTGTTTTTACTGTATTACTGTATACTGTAATACGGTCATGATGATGAGTCTCATTTTTTACATTCTTTATTTAGGCATTTGAAGTGTCATTTCTAACTAGGAGAGCTAGAGTTGAGAACATCATAGAATGCACCTGACTAAAACCTACTGAAGTGAACTTAAGTCTGTAGGCTTTATGTAACCCCCACACATTGTGGTGAAAGCTTTCTGAGGGAGGAAGACGTATGAGTCTGCAGGACACTCGGGTAGGCTTTCTCCGCGCTGACACGCAGAGCCCTGAGAGGGTGCCGCTGGGCTCCTCCTGCTACAGTGAGTCCCTTCTGCACAGCGCCAGCCTTCACTGTTTAGTGAATACTTTACCTTTGTAGCTCTTCACAGGGCTCCACGTAGTACATGTAATTACAGGTAGTCTATCACCCCTGAGAAACGCTGCCACATTTAGCACCACATACCTGAAAAGCCCCTTTTGGTTTCCCAAGTTGCTTTCCAAGTCTGAGGGCTACACTAGGTGCAGGAACTGGAACCCGAGCCCTTGTACAAGTATTGTCTAAGCACTAGCAGACACTCGGCACCAGCATGCCCATTCCCCATGTGGGCGCTCTCCGGCTGGTGCTGCTCTGCCACCACTCAGATGCTGGACATATGAGGAGACCCCCAGACTAAGGTGCCAGTGATGGCTACCGTGAGCTGCACCAGGCCACACTGGGGCCAGCAGTGGGACAGGACTCCACGAGTGCTGCAGTCCAGCCAGCTCCACCAGGCACTTCCTGTGTTCTGCTGCAATTTTCCTGTCTGTGCCATCCCTCTCAGGACTACAAGTCCAGCCACCTTACAGAGACAGCCTGAGGATCCTCAAGTCACTTTGCCATGTAGCCTGCCACCACTGGGCCCCAGCATTTCCTGCTAGTGGGGCCCAAACTCACCATTCCCTACTAGCCCTCCACTAACCCTACTCCTCACAAGGACCTCAGGAATTCTCCTCAGTCTCTAACCTACCTGGAAGAGCAGCCTGCAGGCCTGGTGCTTGGTGATCCTCAGTTGCTTGTTGCCCCCACAAATGTGGACAGCAGACTTGACCCCATTGTCCTAGCGTGACATCAGCTACAACCTGCCCCCGTACACCTGCCAGTTCCTAGCCTTTGTGTCTCCTAACAATTGAGCACCAGCTCCATGTGCAGTTCAGAGTAGAAATATAATCTCATCCTTGGCTTGTCCCGTGCTTCCCTTCCACGCACGCAACACTATCTGCATGTTGCTCTTCCATCAGTCCCTCTCACAGGCTTCGCCCTGCCATCTGGCCCTGTGATCCCCGTGGTCCTGGTGGATGGAAACACCCCTCCCACGATCCGTCAGTCTCCCGGCACGAAGCAGGCTCACTCACGCACATGAACCCACCATTGTGTGCTCAGAGGACAAGCATCTGCACATCTCTGTGTTCTGGAGGGTGGCGACAACGGTCCCGGGACCGGCAGCACGGACCTCCTCCTGCCATCGCCCCCTTCTTTAGCACCTGGCCACGAGGACGCCTGTTCCCTCAGTGTCCCATGAGGACGCACCTCGGAGACCAGAAACCCACAGCGGGAGCCACCAGGCCATTAGCTGCTGACCACGCGGCAGCTGAGCCCTGACTCTGCCGGAATCGGCCCTGCCTCCACTAATGGCTTCAGAATGGCCCCTCACTTTACTGATTAAAATAAATTGTATAATCTGTACTTTGCATTTACACCATGATATTGTAGGATATTGGTTGATAAAAAATGGGCAGCAATGTGAACATCACACATAATTAATCTTTGGGAATAAAAGAAGTATAATAATTAAGCCAAGATGTTTCATACAATAGAATTTTATTAACTTTATTCCTGCCTTGTACATTACCTCTCGAAGCATGTAAAATTGATATGAAATTTCCCGCATGATATTTGCTTCAT